ATGAAAACATTACTTGTAAGGTAAATTGCTTATTTTATATTATATATCATAATTCAGCTATTCATAAGCTAGGATCACTGTTGTGTGTTAACACTGTTCAGAAGATCTACATGTCAAGTTTGTTTTTTAATAACTTCTTTTAATTATCAAGTTTCTAACGTCTTATTTATACATAAATGAAATGTATTAGCTTGCTATTATTCCTTAATAATGCTATACAAGTTCACTGTTTAATATACATATAGTAACTACTATTCAGTTTCTGATTAAATTTACTTAAACTTTAAAACCAAATAATTTTGCTACTATAAAGTCTTGCACTGGACATACTCAAGATGCTAGCAACGTATTTTGGCAGAAAAAAATAAGATACCATCAGAAGTGGCTGACTTTGGTATCAAAGATAGTATTTTTAAAATCAGCAGTTAGCTTTGTCATTAAAGCAATGTTCTTTATATCTTGGATTTAGTTTAAACTAATGAAAATAACCGTGTATCAAGAGCCATTAAAGATCTCTGTTCTGAATGAATTTATTTTCATTTTGTCTGAAAGACCTTAGAGTTCAGTCAGGACAAAACCAAGCATTGTCAGTGAAAAGTGATGTGTCTGTGAAAAGAATTACTTGGAACTACAATACACAGAGTAATTCAGATGAGAATTTAACTCCCTCCCCCATTTTTGAAGAGCTTTAAAAGGCAGAGCAATGTGAAGTCATTTGTCCGATGGTTTCATTAGCTGTGACTCTGCTATTCTTTGTTACATGTATAATAATGTTTCACATTATCCTTAAGAGTTGTCAGTTACAACAGTTGATAACAATCATAAACTGAAGACTTCATTTCTGACCACAAAAGTTTATTCTTCTCTATTTTAATGCATATATTTTAACACTGCTTAAATATATTTATGACTTTAGTAGAGACTAGACCTTCCTCTTTGTGATTTTTTTTTTCCCCAAATAGAAGAATCTGTATTCTCAAATTTGAACCACTTTCTGAAACTTTAATCTTTCATCATTTGCTTTTCCACAGGTTTACTTTGGGGGAAACAGTAATCTGTTAAATAACTAGTATCAGCACCCCGTCCTCTGCTGTAAAAAGCCTGATTAGATACTGTGTATGTTTTTATGTCCATGAACTTGAGCTACTCGTGTGCAATTACGTGTATGGGAATGGAGTAGTGTTCATGATCTGTATTTACATCATCATATGGATGTATATTTATTAATAAAGTTAATACTTTAAAACCTAACAATTTTTTTTCTCTGGGCTTTTTTTAATACCTTTTAAATTCTGGCTGAAGATGCCTGTTGATAATGTTACCAGACCAATAGCCTTAGCCCTTCTCTCTGGTAAATGGAAGTGCTCTTTGTTCACCTGACATCTCATAGTTAAGTGACTCAAACTGGCACTGAAATGTTTTGGTACACCTTGTACAGATTTCACTTCAAATCCCACAGCTCGTTGTGTTTGTCCCTTGCCTCCCTGAAGCGTAATTGAATCCGACTGCGATAGACTGAGTCTGTTCAGGCCTGTGTGAACTTGAGAATGCAGACAGGACTGGTGAGAGTTGGGAGGCCACTGTATTGTGTGATTTTTAAATTGAGTAGATAAGCGCACCTGTTCAGTATGCTTTGCTTTCTGAATTTCAATGTGAGATGTGTATTGCTTGTTATGGGCAAGTCCCATATATATGAATTAAGGCAGAAAGCCAGTATGAACTGCAAGGTATCAGAAAACAGAGGAATGTTTATTTTTTAATGAGTTGAAAATGCTGCTACAGTAACTTAATTGTTCTTATCCTTTCACTCAAATACAAGAAGACAGGAGGAAAGGACTTACAGCTATGTACATACGAACAGTAAGCTGTTATTTTTTTTTTCCTGTTGCACAAGGAAATCAAATTGAGAGTACTCATAAACTAAACTTTGCATGGAATGGTGGTCATTATTCAGTATTCTGTGATGAATAAGATGTATTTATCCCTGTATTGTAGCAATATTCCAATTTATTTTTGTTGGTAAGGCGTGCTCTGCATACCACCCAATGGCTCCTCTTTTTTTTTTAACTTCTCTCTACTGAAGTTTTTCAGTACCCTTGGGGGAAGATGGGCAGTCCTACCTACCAGAAGCTGCAGTCTAGACTGCCAGATCTGCATCCTTCACTTGCTCTCCAGCACCCTCTGTTTTCTCTTCCATGTATTTTCAAAGGCTGGGAATACATCTAGTGTTGAAACGTTTTAAATGTCAGTTACAGTTGTTTTGCAGATTTCTAAGTTGCTTTACCTGAAGAAAAAATCCAATGCCTTTTTTTTTGTTGACCATTCTGGCAATTGTAAATATTTGGCTTTCAAGGTGAGTGGATATGTTCAGAACAGAGTTCAGCTACAGCCTGCTATGTCCTAGTCTAAAAATCAGTTCCTGGATGTGATTCCTTGGGCAAAATGGATTATTTTCTTGGTTGTAATGAAACCTTAAGTATTAAATATTAAGTCAGTCATAAATTATACTGTACAGGACTACAGGATTTTCAGCTGTGTTGGAAGTTGCTTGACTGCTTCTGTGGCTGCCACATTCTCTGCCATGTAATGAACTGAACAGTAAAAGTTGCAACACAACCTGTTCCCTCAGTACACAGCTGGTGTGCAAGGCCAGGTGCAGTTTGTGATTTATTTATGCTGACAGACTAGCAATGTTGGGGTGTCAGCTAGGCAAGCTGGACATCTTGAAGGAGTCTTTAGGATGGTTTTATCTTTTAATAATTTCATATATGTGTATGATGAGACACCAAGGCTTGCTCTGGGCCTGGACTGGCATTTTTATGCGTATGTACCTCCCTGGTGCAATCTCTTAAAGTAGCACAAATAGTACAGCGTGAATTAGTGATACCATACCTATTAAATATGCAGGCTCAACAGAGTGTGTTTTTGGACCAAGACAAATGGAGATTGTTCTTGACAGTTAATCATTTAAATCTGTAATGCCTGAAAGTAAACGACTGACTCGCTGCCCTGCATTGCATGCTATTTTTATCAGGGTTCTGCCTGTGGCTCTGTGTTTATTGTTTAACATTTGAGAGAGGTGTGGCCTGACCATACAGAATTGGCAGACCAAAAGCCCAAATTCCAAAATTGGAAAGCCCAAAACTGTGTTCTGGAGCTGACCTAGGGATGGCAATGCCTCGTTTTTGCCATCGGTTAAAAAACACAGCAAAAGTATCTGCTTATCATGCAGGGTTGCTGGAAGGAGTCATTAGTTAACAGCTTTTAACTGCTTTGAAGCTGAAGAATGTTGTGGAATTCTTAAGTGTTGTTTAAATGATCTGAGGCAGATAAATCTTCCTGCCTTTTATGTTGTTTTTTTCATACCACAAAAACTTGTTCTAATTAATGTAAAAATATCACTGGAACAATTAATGCAAGTTTGATTATTTACAGTAGCCCTTTGAGATATGCATAATAGTAAAATGTGTATTTACTGCTTCAAGTGGTCATATCTTTAAATAAAAATATTCAACTGCAGCCACAGTGAGAAAACAAAGATTACAGTGTGACACATCCCAAATTTAGATGTAGGTTTAAGTTGCCCAGGTGACCTCAGCCTGTGCTCCTGAACTGAATGCTTGTCATGTTTTCTTCTGCCTCATCTTTGCACTATAGAATACACAAAATGTTGTAGCTGTGAGGATGTCAGGATTATACATGAGTGGAAACCTTGATCTTGGTGAAGATGCTGTTGTTCCCTCTCTGTCCCAGCCCATGTCCTCTTTCACTCCTTCTCTTGCCATGTTGCCTGCGAAGGGACATGCCCAGTGTGACTGAAATCTGGGGGAGAGAAGTCCAGCTGCAGAAATACAAGTTGCATAAATGACCACCAAGTTTTGGTGTTTATTCATGGGTGCAACAAAACATTCGTATCTTGCAGATCCTTCTCTTTGCTAAGTTTCAGATCATTCCCTGGCAAACAGAGCTTTTTCTAATGTGTCCAAGATTTTTGAATAGATACAAAACAATTACTTTTTTTACTAGACTTTTTCCTGAAAACAGACATTTGGCGTTAAAAATCAGAAAAAGGGAAGCCACTGAAAACAATTGTGCAACAAAACTGGAAGGCATTGTAGGAACTGTGCCTTCTCTGCGAGCACTGGGATAGTGTGTTTTGATTTAGGTAGGATAAAGCCTAACTATTTCTGATTCTTCGGAATTCATTTGTGTTCCATTAATAAATTACTTACAGTCACCATAAAAAAAGAATAAAATTTTGCACAAACCTTTTGTTTTGTGTTACGGGAGGAAGGCTATTATGTTAGGATTAAATCCCCAGAAGTGTCTCCAGTGGAGGTATGCTGCCAGAAAGCTATCTGTTATTTTAAAGGTTTGGAATATCATCACCCGTGTCTGAGACCTGACCCCAGCCTGGGCGGTAGCTGGGGAGACTCTGGGCCCTGACGGCACAGAGCTGAGAGCTGGGAACCACACGCAGTCCTTGGCCAGAAGGAGAATTGTTTTCAAGACAAAAATGCTGCTTTGTTCAAACTCAAAGATACGGACAACAGGGAATGAAGTGGGTTTTTCCCCCCCGAGCAGGCTGCACCAGCATGGATTCCTTATATGCTTTTGTTTTTAAGCTTGCTTGCTCTGTATTTTACCTCTGTGCAAACCTCATGTTTTATATTGTTAGGCTATTATGTCCTCAGTATTAATGCTTATGCAAACTGGACTTTGAAAGGAAAAATTTCAAGCAAGAAAAGGTGTGCTATAAGAAAGGACAGCGTTGGAGAATCATCCCCTAGTAAAAACCAAGACAAATATCCCATTTCTGTAATAAAGCTGACACCCATCTTCATTTATACGCATGTAGTGTTTTCCTTGTTTGTTTTCCCGTGTGTATGGTTCATACTCTCCTAGGCTGTGATTTTCACTTTTTGAACAGATGCAAAATTTTGGCAAAATCTGACTGTGCGGTGCTTGCAGTTTTAATGAACACTGTAAAAAAGGGGGTATCAGCTCTTGAAGTACTGTGTTTATTTTCACAATGCCCCAGATAGTCACTATTAAAAGTGAAAGCAAGTAAGAACTAATTCTGTGACAGGAAGAACATTATCTTACTTCCTAAAAATACATACCAGAATATTTATCTTGCCTTTCAGCTGGGGAGCTTTGGTAGATACGCTGAGGGACAAGAGCTCCTTTTTTCTTTCTGGCTTTAAAAAAATACATCTTTAGTTTGCAGGCTTTTACCCTTACCCCAGCCTGGCTGTAGGTTGAAGTTTAGTTTTCCTGTGAGAACACATCTCAGAGTTGAATCTGTGCTTCTCTACAGCGAGTGGGAGTAGGCGAATCCTTCGGCAGGCAGATGTGGGTTAGGAGGTCCTGGTCACCACAGGCCCTGAGGGCTGCGATACTGGCTTGTAACAAAACATGCTTTTGGAATGAATTAGGGGGTGTGTTTGTGTGCTCTCTCAATTACCCTTCAGTCATAACATCCTGTCCAGTCCTCAGGATGACATTTCCCTTGTTGCAAGAATTTTCGACCTGAACTAATTTAAGTCAACAGCGAAGTGCCCGCCGACCTCCAGCAGCGTCAGCGGATCAAAGCGTCCCGTGCAGCGCGTCGTGTCGTGCGGCCGGCGGTGGCCTTGGCTGCTGGGCCAGGGGCTCAGTGGGGCTGGTGAGAGAAAACTTGGTTAAAACCAAACTGATTCGTATTTCATACTGGCAGGGTCTAGGGCCTGAGATAGATTCTGTCTTGTTGCCTTGCACTGCTCTCCGAGCCCTAGCAGTTTCTCTCCCCTCACCTCAAAATCTTTTGGAGCTTGCAGAGTCAAAATATTTTGGAGCTGGGAGAGGGTGGCTGTGGCGACCATGTCACTGTCCCATCAACTGAAAATCTTCTAGAGCTTGCAGAAAGAGTCTGTTGGCGAGCGTGTCCCTGTCCCCTCACCTGAAAACCTTCTGGGGCTCGTAGAAGGAGTCTGTTGGCGAGCGTGTCCCTGTCCCCTCATCTCAAAATCTTTTGGAGCTGGCAGAAGGCAGCTGTGGCGAGCCTGTCCCTGTCCCCTCACCTTAAAACCTTTTGGAGCTGGCAGAAGGCGGCTGTTGGCGAGCGCGTCCCCACCGCCGCGACCTGCGCTCCCTCCCGCTACACGAGCGTAGAGACAGCGAACGGGCAGAGGAAGAGGAAGAGGAAGAGGAGGAGGAGGAGGAGGAGGAGGAGGAGGAGGAGGAGGAGGAGGAGGAGGAGGAGGAGGAGGAGGAGGAGGAGGAGGAGGAGGAGGAGGAGGAGGAGGAGGAGGAGGAGGAGGAGGAGGAGGAGGAGGAGGAGGAGGAGGAGGAAGCAGAGCGCAGGCCGGGCACCGCCCCCGCCAAGATGGCGGCACGCTGGGGCGCGGCGGCGCGCCGGAAGTGGCGCAGAGCTGCGGCGGAAGCGGCCGTTGTCCGGGGAGACGCCGCGCTGCGAGGCCGGGGCCGGGGCCGGGGCCGGGGATGTGGCGGCTGGTGCTGGCGCTGGCCTGGCTCGGGACCGCCCGTCCTGTGGGTGAGAAGGGCGGGCTCGGGCGCCGGGGCAGCTGCGGCGGGTTCTGAGGGGGCGGGCCTGCATAGCGGGGCTGACATCTCCCTCCCGGCGCAGGGGCGGTGGCGGAGGGGAGCTCCGGCGGGCAGCCCCGCTCCCCCGGGGGCGGCTCGGCGCAGGGCGGCGGCGGCGAACCGGTGCGGTACCGGACGGCGGAGATGGCGGACGCGATGCTGGGCAGCGGGCTCCCCGCGGTGCTCTCGGTGGTACCGGGGGAGGCGGGGTGCGACGCAGCGGCCGGGACCGACGGGTGCGGCGCGGGGAGCGGCCCCGCTGTTTCCCCCAGCCAGCCCCGGGAGCCGGCGGCGGTGGGGACGGCGCCGCCCGCTCCCGCCGAGGAGTCGAATAGCACCGACAGCTCCAGAGCTCCGAAAGTGAACTGCGAGGAGAGAAACGCAACCGGCAGCGGCCGCGCCGCGCTGCAGATCCTCAACGTCTCGCAGGTAAGCGGCTCGCCATCCCCCCCGCCCTACTCCGCACTGCTTGGGGGTGGTTTGAATTCGACGTCGAGGTGGTTTAGAATTCGGTTTGGGGGTGGCGGGAGGTGCCCCCTCAACACCGTGTCCGTGTTTCTGTCAGTGTTGGGCTTTGGGAGTTTCCTTGTGTAATGTCCTCGGGGCTGTTGAAAAGAGAAGGTGTCTGGGCGAGGAGGTTCTTGTCCTCCTGAGCAGAAAAAAAAAAGCTCAAATGGTGATGCAGCTCCATCCACACGCCCGTGTGTCTGCAGTGAACTGTCAGCTCTCGTGCTGTGTGGATTATTAGTGTCTCCCTCTGAAATTGTTAATGGAACTTATTGCCAGTGCGTGTTTCTAGGTTCTTTCTTGTAATGGTTATACATACATATATATATATATATATTTTAGGTAATAAACTTTTAAAACTACTTATAAAAAAGGTTAAATACAATTCCCCATCTGTTTTGAAAAGGTTAAACAAATGTGCAGCAACTTGATCAATATTGTCAAGTATCTAACTCATTGCTGGATGATGCATTCCTACGTAGAACTTAACACTGCTAAATATATAATTGTCCATGTTTCTTTTTCTTCTGTTTTCTCTAAGGACCTGATGGAGTTCTTAAACCCAAACAGCAGCGACTGTACGTTAGTCTTGTTCTATACACCATGGTGCCGCTTTTCTGCCAGCCTGGCACCTCATTTCAATTCTTTACCTCGAGCATTTCCAACTCTTCGCTTCCTAGCACTGGATGCATCTCAGCACAGCAGGTAACTTACACTTCCTGTGCTCTTAGCATCAGCTTATTTCTGCTATCAAGCTTTGTGTTTTTAAAACAGGAGTGGTTTTTTTATCTAAAGTGACAATTTAATTTAGTAAAACTGACACTTCCTGTACCATGACTATCTCTGTATCTTCTTCCAGTGGGTTTCTTTTCCTTCATGCTTTGTATTTGCTTTATGTCCACCAGTTTATCAACTAGATTTGGAACTGTGGCAGTACCCAATATCCTCCTTTTCCAAGGTGCTAAACCTATGGCTAGATTTAATCATACAGACAGAACGCTGGAAACACTGAAAGACTTCATTTTTAATCAAACAGGTATGTAAATCAGCCCTGATGTGCCAGTAGAAAGAATGGGTTTGTTTTTAGCTCCAAACTTGGTTTTCCTCTCCCTGCACTTTGGTCTTTTAAAATTAATTTAATGACCCTGAGAGGACCCAGACAAAGTTTGCTGTAGTGAGCTGGATTTCGGGGCGTGCTGAAAGCAGAAACTCACCTCGTTGGGCTGCTGTTGCAGAGTAGGGGGAAACAGTGGGGTTAAACTAGAGAGGGTGCTAGGAGGATTGAGATTATCCTCCTGCCCAGATATTTAATTTGGGAATACAGGCAGATGAACCTTGGGATCATTGGCAGTGCCATGTAAGGCTGACGGCAGCTAAGACGTTTTCAGGTTTTGTGCTGGAAGAGATAAAAGGATTCCACTTTGCATGATCTGGTTGTCCACGTTGTGAGCTCAGCACCAGCCAGCACTCTGTTCCTTCTGTGCTTCTGTAAAGAAAACCAGAACAAACCAAAAAACATATACAGGCCTACAAGATCCTTCATTAGAGGCCAGAAATTATTATGTTTGCTAATACAGCAGAAATACTCAAAACAACACAAACAAAATAAACCTCCACAATAAAAATACCCCTGCAAACGTACACAGGGCTGTGCTATGAAGGTCAGAACAAGCCTTCTATTCTGAAAATACACATAAAAATCAATGTGTTTTCAAGTAAGTAAACTGTATTCTGGATACACGTTAACATACAAGGACTATCTCGCCTAAATTTTAAGTTGAACTGTACAAGTGCCTTAGCCGGAGAACAGGAACAAAGCTCCAAACAGAACCAGCATCTCTGTATTTAACAATTATTACTGGTGTTGATCAGGTTCTTTCTTTTTGTTAGGGATAGAAGCTAAAAGCGACGTGGCTGTGACTGAGGAAGACTGGGAAGGCCCCCTGCCTAGCGTTCTGACGAAAGGCATAGACTGGCTGCTTCTCTTTTCTTTGCTCTTCCTGGCTAGCTTTGTCATGTACGCTACTGTTCGAACGGAGAGCATTCGGTGGCTGATCCCGGGACAAGAGCATGAACATCAGGAATAATCCAAAATGTTGAAATAGGGACAGAATTGCCCGCTAAGTGGTAAAGCAGGAATCTGTACGGACTAAAAGTACGTAAGAATAAACTGTTGAATTTGTTGGTTTTAATTTATAATCTTGACTAAAAAAATCTGCTTTATTTATCAACTACAGAATCTGTAAAAAGCAAATTTGAGGCGATTAAGGTGGTAAGTAAACAAATATGAAGAAAATAGGAACTAAAAAAGTGTTTGTTAAGCTGTTCTGATCAGTTTATTTTTCATGGACTTTAATGTAAAGAGGTGATACAGTTTCACTTTGCTCTTCTGAAGAGGTCCCTGCGCTTTGTAGGTTTTTACAGCATGTTGGCCTGTACGCGTGGCCCTGCTCGGCACAGGAGCCAAGCTGCCTCCGCTCTGGTGCAATCTGTGGATCTTCTTTTACAGCTCCTGCAGATGTATGAACTATAAAGCTTCTATGTGCACAACGTGGTAAGCACTACAGAATTAGGGTGTATTTGCCCACAGAGATCATACTCAGTTTTTGGCTCATGTCTTCCTGAAATACAACATTTTAAAGGAAAATGGTGGTGAACAGTGATATTGCTAAATTAGTTTGACTGTCAGTAAAATGAACGATGAAGAAAATGTTTTGAAAAACAGTGTGCTTCAGATGAATTCTTCCACTGTATACCAGCAGTAACAATTCAAAAGCGTGTGACACAACCCTGGGCAGGGTGACAATTTCCCACCATGGGTGCTGGGGTTAGATGCTGCTTTACTTCCTCCCTGTGCTCTATGAGTTTTGACCTAGTGACAGTTCTCTGTAAGATGTAGAATAACTACCAAAGCTCACCTCATTCATTTTGTGTGTGTATATACAAGGTATCTACCACATTCCTGTAGAATTAAATTGCATTCATTGTCCTTACTCTTTTTTAAACAAATCAAGTTTTTAGTGTGACCTTTTAAGCCACTTTCTTACAGGAATAAAATCATGCACCTTCTGGAGTATGGATCATCTGCCTAAATTAGAGAGACGGTTTGGGATTTATTTAAACTTCTATTAGTGTGCTTGCTGGTTGCGCAGTCTACAGCTGAGGCTACATAAAGAATTTACGTGGTTTTTAGTTAGTATGGAAAAGTTTGAGTAAGGTATAGACTGGTATGTTTTGTGTGTTTTGGATTGATTGCATAGCATTTATATATGGTGGAGGCTTGCCATGCTACCCTACTAGGAAACTTTAGAGTGCAAATTTAAGCTAAGAAACAAAGACTGCTATGATTTATTGTTTGACAGAGCTCATATCCCTGCACCATCATTCTTCAGGTATTTTTCTGGTGGCTGTATCTTTCACTTTTGGAAAGCTGAGGTGCTGTACTTCAGTGTGTTAAGGAAAATGCACCGATAAAACTTTGGTGTTACTTCCTAGTTTTAGCTTCAATATTTTATTAATAAAGATTCAGGATTTTGAACGTTCTTGCCTCTGCCATTCAGTTTGAGAGAGGGCTGGCTTCTCCCCAGTCATTCTCTCCATACCTCTGAAGAAATACCGATGTCTTTAAAAACGATGCTGCCTCCGCTCCGAAAAGTGCCGCTTTCGGTGCCCCCCCGGGGACCTGCCCTTGCTCAGAGCTGACCGGGAGCGACCCCCGGGGTACAGCGCCCGGTGCTCAGGTCCCACCCGGTGCCCGCTTCATCTCTCCCCGGGGGGGCCGCCGTCCCTCCCGGCCGGTGGCTCCGTTACAGCCCCCCCGCACCGCAGCACCAGAGGAGGATTGGGGGGGGGGCGGCTGGTGGTGGCAGCTCCCTCCCGCCATTTCTCCGCGCTCGGTTTCGCTTTGCGGCCTCGGGGAGGGCCGGGCGGTGTCGGTGTCGGCTCCTCCCGCTGCCCGGGCGGCGGAGGCGGGGCCGGGGCCGGGGCCGGGGCCATGCCAGGCGGCGGGGTCGGCCTGCGGCGGGCGCTGCTGGCTGCGCGGCGGGCGGCGGCCCGGGGAGCCGGTGGCGGGAACTGCGCTGCCATGGTGAGGGGCGCGGCAGGGCCGGGGCCTCCGGGCTGGGGGGGGGGGGGAGATTGGATTGGGGGTGTGTGTGTGTGTTGGAGGGGGATATTGGGATGGGGGGGGGTGTGGGCGATATTGGGGTGAGGAGTGGGTGGGTGTGGATATTGGGGTGAGAGGGGTGTGTGTGTGGGAATATTAGGGTGGGGGGTGTGTGTGTGGGAATATTGGGGTGGGGGGAATATTGGGGTGAGGGGTGGGGGGGAATATTGAGGTGGAGGGGGTGTGTGTGGGGAATATTGGGGCGAGAGGGGTCTGTGTGTGGGGGGATATTGGGGCGAGAGGGGTCTGTGTGTGGGGGGATATTGGGGTGAGGGGTGTTGAGGGGGGCCAACCACTGCCCTGGTGCTTGGGGTGCCCCCACCCATTCCTCCTTCCCCGCTTCCCACCGCCATCCCACCCCTTTTTTTTTTTTTTTTTTTTTAGTTATTTTTTTACTTGAAGCTAATAACTAATTGCACACGCAGGTTTAGACCCTCACCCCTCACACTTGCAATATTTTGCGCTACATTTTTTTATGCAATTAATGATGTTTTTTTTTGGCCCCTGAGCTGCTTCCCAAGGAGCGTTGCTGGTTACCTGGGTTAATCCCTCCACACGCCGGTGTGTCGCGGGTTGGGTGCCGTTACCTTGTGTGCTCGGTCGGTATTTGCACGTAGGTGCCCACGCCGTGCCCTGTGGCGCTGTGGGTACGCGACTGTGAAAGTGCAAATGGCATTTCCCACTTTTTCCTTTCACAAGCAAGTTCCTGCTGCTTTCTGCTGCATTTCTGAATATAGTTGGGATGAACTGGAGGGACTAACTCAGGACGTGGCCTTTGCAACCTATTCCTAAGCAAAATCCTGCGAACAGTGTGCTCCAGGGCCTGCATCAAACTCAGTTTCCATATTTCTATTAAAACTATGATCTAATTGCAAGTCACAGCATTGTCTTGTTGATGCCTGAGTGTCCAGGCGAGGTGTGGGGAAGGTAACTGCAACGTCCCTAAAACCAACAGCGAGCCTCTCTGCTGCCAGCCAGGGGAATGGACTTTGTGCTGCCTCCTGCTCGCAGTCCTGGACTTTGCTATCTCAAAAAAAACCCACCCCTGTGATTTTTTGTAAATTAGCCTACTAATTTCATCTCATGCCAGATAAAATAATACATTTCAAGACAGCCGTTAGCTTGGGCAATTTTTATATATGCGTGGAAAAAGAAGAATGTGAGAAATTCATGCCTACAACTGCGGCTATAGCAATAACAAATCCGATATTTGTATTCTTGTAAATCTAAAATTGTGTTTGAAGCCTGAAGAGCCTAAATTAGTTCCGTTCAGGACCTGCAAAACCTATCTGTCAGACTGGATGTATCCAACTGAACACAAACGGCGGCAGTGATGCTGTTAGATTGCTTTAATCTGTTTGGGGTTTTTTTTTTTTTTTTTTAATCCCTTATTATTGGTGAAAACGTTGTTCCGTGGCCGTCCTGCATCTTAGAACCTTGCTGAGGTCACATTAATTGTGTTAATTCTGCTCTGCTCGGGCTCGCAGCCCCATCTGGTGGCACTGGGGTTGCTGCCGGTCTCTCTGCGTTGCCAGCGCCGATGGCAAAGGCAAAAATTACCCTGAGCTGCTCAGCTGGTGGTGGGTGCTCACAGACCTCCGATGCCTTAGTGAAGCCCTGGAGCAAAATTGCTCAACCCCCTCCTGGAAGTTCTCACTACGCTCTGCTAGCTGCTGATACAAAGACCAAAGCAATCTGAATTTTGTTCTACTGGGGAGAAAGGTTCTTCCCATTAAAACATTGTGTTTATAATATGAATTTGAGACCCATCTGTTAGAATATATCACCTAAGTAATCACTCATGCCCTTAGTCTCTGCTTTTAGGAAAAATATCAAACCTCTTCCAAATGCCCCACAGAACTTACCTCTGGGTCTGGCTCTGGGCTGGTGCATGGTTCAGGCACAGATTCAGCTATTTAAGCAGATAGTGTAATCTGGTGCATCCATGTTCTCAGTGGCTTCCAAATGACTCCTTTTGCCTCAAATAAGGCCTATTTTAACATAGGTGCTTTGCAGAATCTAGTGCTTATGCCCGTAACTTGTAACTTCTTGTAATTGTGTCTGTATTGTCAGGGCTTTTTCTTTTCATTGTTAGTTAAAAAGCTTTTTGTTGCTTGTAGGACTCCATAGTGCATGCTAGCTTTAAATCCATTCCTGCTTTCTTAGGAATAGTAAAGTACAAGCTAGGTAGAATACAATCTCCCATTTTGCTTCTGTCTTTTGAAATAGATACTCCCCAATATCCTCTTTAGCCTTATAATTGAACATTTAGGATATAATGTAAATAGTCCTTTATTTATATGACAGAGTGGAATATTTGAAATTAATTCAAGCGTTACAGCATCTGGATAATTCAGATGAACAAGGGATGGGCACAGGTATGCTGGTATCTGTATTAATTCCTGTGAAACAGCCTGTTATTTTTTGCTGGTTTTGTACAAAAGCATTTAGCCACACTTAATTGACCAAACAGAAATGGTGTTTCTTGGCTGGTTTAAGTTAAGGTGGTCTGTGGAATGATAAACAGTAAGAAACTATACAGTGAATTTTCTACCTCCTTATCTTTCTACAATACCTAACCATAATTTCATTGTCTGGTTTTCTTACCATTATACAAAAGAGAACCTCAGCCTCACTCATGTCATGTTTCGTTTTGTTTCGTTTTGTTTTTTCTCAATAGTCTTCACAGTCTCACTGGTTGACGACAGAGGAGAGGAACCAAGTTTTACCTGATCTTAAAGCTTCAGGCTGGTCTGAATTAGGCGAAAGAGATGCCATCTACAAAGAGTTCAATTTCAAAAATTTTAATCAGGTAATTATTGTTATATACCACTTCTAATATAAAAGAAATGTAGTTGCTTTAATTTCCATACGATTCTGATGGGAAAATATTTCTATTCAGAAATTTGGGAGTATCCTTGTGGGTCCAAACCCTCTTGGGTTTGCCTCAATAGATTGTTCTCTGATTCTGATCTCATTAGGTGGAGTAAATGATTTCTGTTTTGTAGTTGTTAATGAGATTTGTTCTAATCTTACAATTTCTTGATTATAATATTAGGGTCAAGGTCAGGGTCAGTACTATGTGTTTAGACAAATAATATTTAGTCCTGATTTTTTTTTTTTTTTCATCACTAGCACTTATAAATAAATGCTGGAAGTATGTAACTGGCAGACTTCGGGGTTCATTTTTGTCAGGGAAAAACTCGAGAAAAATGGCTAAATATAAGAGCAGAAACTTTTGGCAAATCAGGTGGGGAAAATATGGTACATTTCACCTTCTAAGCAGGAAGACAGAGTTCTAGTATATTCTTGAATGAATCGTAGTAGCTGATCTTGTAGCGTCTTCAGCACAGCAGACTTCTGGTTAGACCTTTTTGGGTTTTTATTTGGAGTCAGGATCCTGAGCCATATCTCAAGCTCACAAGAACACGTCTTGGACATCAGCTACAAACTTGCTTTAGAAATACTGAATTTATCTAGAGATCTGTAGTCAGCTACATTCCCCCAAAAAATCGCTTTCTGAGGAATCGTGGCACCGCTTAGAAAAAAGTCAGGTTCCCAGAGCATGCTGATTTATTTCTGAAGGAGAGGTGAGTGCTTTCTGGGGTTGTAGGGGAAACTCAGGGTTTTGTTGGGGCAATGGCTCTTGCTGAGCTCGTTCTTTCCCCCACTACAGGTGGGACGCAGCAAGCTCCAGGCTTTGCTGGTGTGTGTGAGGACCAAGAGCTGTGCTGTGAGATGCTTATTTACATGGCTATGCCTAAACCCAGGCCAGGAGATTTTTTAGGAAATCACAATGAGCTAGATTAACAACAATTTGTAAGGCTGGCTCTGTTTTTTGTTTTTTGTTTTTTTTTTTTTTTTTTTTATTTCAGACAGTAGTTGTCACCATAAGGAAAGCCTGGGTGGTAGAGAGAAGGTGTATGAGGTGGTCCCACCTTCTCTGAGCTGATCAAAAGCAAAAGAGAAAACAACTGCAGAAAAATCCAGCTCGCAAGCAGGATGGTGCTGGTCCAGGGAGCACACCCGGAGCCTTGAGTACATTTTTTCCTGGGTTGCACTTCAAACCTGAACGTTAATACGGAACAAATAGAACTGTATCAGACGATTCAGAGAGCAACAAAGGAGGGAAGCCCATGAGAGGGAGCTCACATGAAACCTTGGTGAGATGTTCAGGCAGCTCGGAGCTGGAGCAACCAGGAGAGGCCAGCATGTTTGACAACGATGAGATAGAAGTATCCCTTGGAAGAGTTGAGATTTTCAGCCTTTGCACTTCGAGTATTCATGAAACGGCGTCTTTGCCAGGCCATGGTCAAAGTCTTTATTGGTTCGGCACAACTAGAACTGACTTTTTTTTTCCTCAAAGTTAATTAAAAAGTGGTTTTGCACACTATAAATAAATAAGTCAATTTGATCAGCTAGACTTAGGCAGTGTGCCAAGAGAAAAGTGGGTGTGCTGTACCAGCAGATACCTAGAATACCCATTGCTTTGGCAAAAATTTACAAAGTTGTGTTTCTTTGACTGGATAGATCTATCTTACAACATAGGTGGGTATACATGTGTTTTCCTAATTTAAGAAGCACATATCGGTACAGGAAGTTGCATATATTTAAATATGCTCATTAGTGAGTGATGATAACGTACACATTTATACTTCTAGTACATGTCATTTTAGAGAGGGTACTCAAAAAATATTGCCACTTGAATTGTTTGGGAGACACTGGTACAGTCTCTTTCATTCTTGGTTGCCCTTCATGGATGTCAGGTAAAGCACAAACAAAACCAGAGGCTGGGAATTGGCTTCAAAACTGACCTTTCTGCATCCAGCCGGGAGAACAAGCTGGGCAGGTGGGTCCTTTGGGCAGCTCTGGTTGGATCAAGGTTATACGCGAGGATCTGAGGGCAGAGGTTCACCTGCTGATTTGTAGGAACTAGCTGCAGTGTCCCCGTTTGCAGCTGTGGAGGGCAGAAGCCGGTCCTGTTACCGTAGTCCAGGAAAGGGCTCAACGTGCAGATCCCAATGGGATGTTCAGCGCTGGTATTAGAGAACAAGTATTTGCCTTTCGATAAGTTGAAGCTGAAAGTAAATTAAAAGTATGCATGGATTCTTATTGATGCTTATGTTTATAATAACTGTTATTAAATACTGTGTTTATTATGACCTAGGGAACAAATGACAAAACCAGAGTTATGTAACTGCATTGTACTTTGGGAGAATGTAGCCCTACAGTGGAAAAAAAGTGAACTTGTAGGTACAACTTCTTTCATTTCATGTAATAAATATTCTGTTTACATTATTTAAAGTGCAAGTATTTAGTAAAAGTCAAAGGACTGAGAAATATCATTTCCTTGGTGATCTTCCTGCTGCCCTTTTACAAATGGCATAAAATCAGGTGTGTATAAAAAAAAAGAGTAGTTGAGCTGACATGAAAGGTATTTCAGATTTATGTTTTGCAGATGATATTGGTATGATTCATGTATTCATTGCTTTTTTTTATTGCTTCTCTCAGATAATGCTCATGATGCATGGAAAATTCTGTGGCTTTAAAATCTATGCCAGGTTTACAAAGTCTGTGTATGTCAACAGATGTTAAGAATATAAACACAACTTTTATTATAAAGTCGTGCAAATGTGTAGACATGAGCTTGGTTTATGAATATTATTTTCAGCATGAGAATGAAATGGAACTTCTGTGAAACAAGAATTATTTAGATTCCTGAAGCTTTCAGGCCAAGATTAGCTTGGTTAAAAGCGATCAGCAGTAGGCTGCCTTTGTAAAGCTGACAAGCTAATGACACTTGTGGTTTATGGAATTAGTTTGTAACCCAGAACTTGAAAGCTCTGCTGCTGTTTGTTAGTCTGAAGATACATTTTCATGCAAATGGGCTTTGGAGGTACAATTCTCTGAAACAAGCTGGAAACCAGCCCGGAGTCCCAGCTGGAAGCCCTTTGTTGGTTATGTGGCTGTGGGTGCCCACCACACACCAGTCCTGGAGTGCTGGACTGGGTGACGTTGGTGCTGGGTGGTGGTTGCTGCTTCATGTTCCCATCGCCTTTAGCGTGAGACAGGCTTCTGGTGGGCGTGTGTTCTGAATCCTGTCTAAAATATAAAATACACCAGCGGTGGAGAAAAAAAAAAATGCAAACACAGCTCAACAGTAGAGGAAGAGCACTTTGTCTAGAAGAGCTGTGCTGATCTCACCGATGCATCCTCTCCTCCTCACAACTGCTGCATGTGATTGCCACTGTTGAACAGCAGGTGGGCAGCAATGAGTTAAAATTATTTTGCCTCCGGGACCTTCGCTTGGGTGGGTTTGCTCAAGAGCCCCCTGGTTGAGTTGCTCTTCCTGAGGATGGTGTGCTCGGTAGAAACCTCTGGCTGTGAGCAAGGTGTCGGAAAGCGGGTGGGCTCGGACCACTCCAGGGCAAGCTTTGAGCCCTGCCATGTGTCTGGGTACTGGTGAGCCTCCATAAACCTCCCAGCCACACCAGGGAGCTTATTCAGGGCCTTTTTCCCTGCCTGCAGGGAAGGGAAAAGCAGCTAGCGAGGCTTTCGGGCCACTGCAGAGCATCAAGAAGACACGCTCTTGTCTGCTCATGTCTTTGCGCTACTGAAACAAAACGTTTCTCTTCCAGCTGTGGAGCAAGCCCTCTGCTTCCAGTCTGCCCAAGCGAAATTTGAAAAGGGGATAGAAACTTAATTTACGCCTCCAGACTATGCCGGTAACTTCTCCCAATTATTGTTCTGCAAACTCAGAAAAGAAGCTGCAGAAGCATCGGGACTAATGTTAAAAGTTGGTCATTGGGGCAGGGAAGGGTTGCTGAGGACCTTGATGTCCTGGCTTATATCTCAGGAAGTTCCTGGAGTTTTCTCAGCATTTCAGGTCAGTACACCTCTGGAGGGGTGATCCTGCAAAGGGGACAGACCTGGCTTAAAAATGTGAATTTCCCCTCTAGTCTGGGTGGGCAGCTGCGAGGGGCTCCGGGTGCTGAGCGCTCCCTTCGGGTCCCTTACCCAGCTGCTCATTTTCACCAAATTTGCAGGAACATCTTAACTCTGAGACTTCCATGTCTCTTGTCAAAGTTGGTTGGATTTGACCAGAGGGTTTAAGGGGCAACTGCCTGTGTGATTGCATTTCCTTAGGTAATCACGCAAAGGCAGAAAATGCAGTTAGGAAATTACAAAGGTGGGCATGTTTGCTGATGGTCAGGTTCAACATTTACAGCTGCTTTCTTTTATAGGGTAAGTTTTTAATTAAGGCTGGTTTTGTATTTTTTTTTTTTTTCAAATCATGTAGAAAGTCTCTGTAAGACCTCTAACGTCATTTTATAAAATGACAGGAAATCAAATGCTCTAAGAGTTTTAAAAGCTATTTTAAAGACGTTTTGTGTTTTGGGGCTACAGGACACAGGCAAAAGATGTGGCTGAGTGGAGGGGACAGTAAAGAAGTGCTTTGGGGCACTGTATGCAGTGAGAGTAGAAGCATGTGAGTTTTGTTGCAATTGTGGACTCTTGATTTTTGAGAACATATTAAAAGAGCTGCAAAAAATCTAGAGCTATTAAATAAATTATTATTCTCACTTTGCATTTCCTTACCAAATTTGCTAGCTCTCTTGTTTGAAGCCCAGGGGAAAAAAATCAGAGAGTGTTACGGTAGATGCCTTTTTTCCTCTCAGTGAAATGCCAATTATTTTCTTTTAGCTGTAGGGAGACATGCTCACATTTGCTCCTTTAAACTGATCATCCTTGTTGTATTATCACCGTTACACATCCGAATTAATTTGGTAGATATGCAGTGAATACTCTGTA